TATATACACAAACAAATTAAAAAAAAAAAAAAAAAAACCAAGAAATAATAATAATAATAATAATAATAATAACGAATATACAATACATTATTCTCTTTTTTTTGAATTTTATAAAAATAGGATGTTCGTCCGAATTACTCAAAAAAATTTTTTTTTTTTAAAAAAAAAAAACATGGTTAAAAAATTATTAAATGTTTGTAAACGTGTAATTAAAAAATTAAAACCACGTAAGCATGATCAAAATGTAATACAAGAAAAAGAAAACACACCATGGTCATTTTGGAAGAAAGTGCTACCACGAAAACGAGAACGGAAAAGAAAAGACAATACAGTAATTCAAAATCAATTTAAAGACCCAGTATTTTCACCATCACTTCCCACAGAATGTTTGATCGAAGTATTTACTTATGTGCAAGACGATCTAAGAACCTTGAACGCATGCCTTTTGGTCAGTAAAGAATGGTGTAATGTTGTAATTCCTCTGTATTGGAGTAGACCATTCCATTGCAAGACTTCTGCAAATGTTATAAATACATATCTTCAATGTCTTTCCAAACATGAACAACAGAATATCAGAACTTGCGGTATTAAGTTAAAACGAAATAGAGCACCTACATTTTATTATGCAAATCTACTTCGAGAACTTAGTATGTCAAAATTATATTTATCCGTAGATTCCTGGATACATATATCTCAAAAATCTATTAAGTACGTATGTAATAATCTTAATGTTTTATTTCAACATATTATTAATAATTATTAATATAGTTATTAATGTTAAATACTCATTTACTTATTTAGAAACATCACACACCAAAGAAATATAATATGCCGTGCATTATGTAGATTATTTGTAAAAAAAAGCCCGGGGCTACTATCATTTTCTCTAAATATGTTACTACAGTTTCTAAAATTGGAAGTGTTAGATTTCTAGCAACTTTATCACAATACCACAAATCTTGTAATGATTTCGAATTTGCTTTTACCATCTTGATAAAAACTGAGCTAATATTACTTAATAAAAATTTAAA